TGTATTGCACTCGTTTTCATGAAAAAGAGTGCAATATTTTCCAGTACTATTGAACAGGTTTTCAGAGCGCAGTAGTGCGCGTAGAGGTTAGAGCGCTTAATACTGCGTGGGCATGAGCCTATGGCCTATTCTTGCGCAGCATAAATGGGTATTGAGGTAATTAGTGCGCTTGCTATATCTATGTGTGCGCACTAAATTAAGCCTTTTTAAACTTGAGATTTATTTGTCAACCATATACTGTCACGAAATAATCTTGAATGAATTCTTTTTACATCAAATAACAAGGATCTAGGAGTTTCGTTGTATAAAACAAATGATGCATGTTTTCATTCGTTCATTATACGATCTATCCGCCCTCGTTGGTGCTGTGTGTATCTATCGCACTCAGCCCAACGGCTTCGTGCGATAGATACACACAGCTACAACTCGAGTGCGGATAGATCGTATGAAGGGGTGACCAAAGTTCGCGGACATTTTAGAACATATTACAAAATGTGATATTCGATCTTTGATTTCTCATATTCTAAACAAATTCATTTATTTTAACTATTACCAAATGGACGGCAAATTTTTTAACTAGAGATTCAACTAAACAAATTTGCCGTCGAATGATTTCGGAGATATCGCGATCTAAAGATTCGATGTTCGATCTTGCGTGCGCGCTACATGTAAAAAATTCATAAAAATAACGAGACCTAACTTCACGCACGGGGGTTTGCAGTTGATTTATCAAAAAAGCGATCCATCAAAAATAAGGTAATATCATAATTTGCAATGCAAGATATCATAAAATCAGTTGGTACCACTTTTTACTTACAATTTTGAGGAAATCTGCTCTCAAATTGAAGATTTTCAGACCCTTATCGGTAAGTTGATAATTTTTTGGAACGGACACAAAAGATTGCAAAATTTGCCGATCTTTTGTCAATAATTTCACAATTTTGTACCCAATTCCAAAGAAAATTTCATCTCTGAGTAATTTTATGTTCCTCTTTCCATTGGTGATATCAGATTTTCGAAATCTTTCTGATTTTTTGAGATAGCGAACTTAGGTCACACCACCGTATAATGAACTCATGCACATGCATCATTTGTATACTATAGAATGAAGTTTCTCTAATAACTTAAGCTATTTTCAAAGACCACGGGTCAAATGTATTTTTTTCTTCCCATGATCATACTTTAGATTTAGTAAGATTTTCCTTTAAGTCTACATAACGTTCTTTTTCTTCTCAGATGCAACGTTGAAGGTAATACAAAGTTTTGGGAAATTTTGAAAATTGGGTGGATAGTCATTCTATACAATTTTGATATATTTAGAAAATTTAGCCCCCTAAAACACTTCTGCTTTCGAGATAAATTGAATATAAAAATTTACCGGTACTCCCGGTAAATTTTGATGAATTTCAAAAAAACGCCTACAGCCGTACAAATGGTAGCTGCGACCATGAAAATCTCAGAATATGTAGTTGTGATATATAATTTACAAACGGGAATAGCTAATCGGTCGATTTTAGTCGAGAAACATTGTTTTATAGCTTAATTACTATCTTGACCTTGAGAGGGAGCTGTACAACATAAAGAGTTTATTATGTTATTTTCATGACTTTAGACTCGATTTCAACCGCGACAACGATCGCTGAATATTGTAGGATCGCATATGCTTCCAATATGTTCATTTGAACTAAATTCATGACTTCATACCAAAACTTTGTAATACCTTTAACGATGAACGGTAAATATAAAAATTATTATGACCATGAACAGGAAAAAATAAATTATCTGCGCATATTCATTTTGACTGTTGACTCCAATTGAAATGTTAAAATGCTACAATACGCAATGTAACTGAACGCAATGATGATGAACTGTAACAGACTATCAAATACAAAACAAGGAGAAAACCTTACCATGAACCAGGATCCGGCTTCTGGATGCTGTTATGTGCCAAGACAAGATTCTGCTAGGCAATATAGCCAACTTATTTTACAAGGCCTTTTTATAATCTCGAACAAGAAAGCCTGGTTTAGGAAGAGATTTAATCTTTTCACGAATTTTTCTTTGGTAGTTCATTTTTCGAATCGAGTTGTTAAAGAATCGCTGTTGATCAAAGTCTCACTAGAAAGCAAGGACCGCGCCGTCAACGACTCTCCTCGTCTATTTATTTTTAGTAGGGCCTACAATAAATAAGTCAATGGTTTACAACAAAAACGATGGTAATCAATATTTACTAGGGATACCTGGACAAAAAAAAGATTTTGCATTGTAGAAAACGAATAAGGATTTATTGTGACTATTTCAAATCAATACATGCCCCGCTTTCAGGAGCAAACCAAGGCTTGATGACGTGAAGAACCATGATCAGATTAATCTGAAAATTCATCTGATCAGTTTCATGATAAATGGGGAAGGTTCGACAGCAGGACTTTATGAACAGCGAAGTCCATTATCATCTGTTCATGGGTTGAAATTAAGATGGATAAGTTTGTCTAAATGCCAATGGGTTCATGCTGTTCTGGGTAGTAAGACTATTATAGACGTTACTGTTCATCCTTCTAGCGTTCAGAACATAAATACCATTGCACAATAGGAAACAAGGCAACCATCACATCTAAAACTATCACTCTGACCAAAAAATATTGGTAAACATTAACACAAAATTAAAGGCAGATTTATTTCTGCATTTATTAACAAAATCAAAATGCAATATACAAATAACTTTTTTTTCAATAAATTAAAACAGTTATACAACCATAATATTTAAATGTGACAATAGTTTAACTATATTATTATAAAAATAAATGAATGCAGTAGACCAACCATCATATTAAAGCAGGGAGCTTGAATGGATGGTGGCCTTGGAGAGGGAGGAGGAAGCTACGTGGTGCCAAAAAGGCGTTATATTACAATTATTCAGATTATCTCCTAAATGCGTAATTTTAATTGCAACAAAAAATAAAACATAACTACTTGAAAGCGTGTTGTATGGGTCAACAGTGCAAGTGTAAACGTTTGTTTCTTTCGTAGTGTATAAGATCAAAGGTTGCATTATAGCGTGTATGTACGTGCGGGTGTAAAACACACGTATTTTGACTTCTGTAAAGTTGCGCGCCATAAAAATGTATAATAATAATAATGTACCAATGACGACCAATATGCAAATATGGGATAAACCCTAAAATAAAGAGTTTAAACAACTACATGAATAAAATGATAAGGTTTTGATGGAGTCTAAGAAGAATATTTTGTTTTAAGATTTCTTTTCATATGGGCTTTAAAAGAATATCAGGAAAAAAAAAGAGTTGACAAAAGACTTAACTCTGTTTCGTTGACGATCAGCCATGCATGAAGTATTTCGTCTTCTTTGTTTGTTGTTAGGGCAGGCAGCAAGTGTAACGGATTCGTTTAATAAAATGATGGAAATGCAAGGATTTCTCTAAACAAACAAAACTTTCTTATTCCTAGCTAATTATTCCTGGTTGAGGTTTCATTTGAAAGGGCAGGAACTTAACTTACTGGAAATGTGATTTTTTTTTTCTTTGAAATTCAGATACCGTTCGCCAAATGACTTTTAAGTATCCTTTCTACAAATTGTTTTTAATCACTCATGCCTAAAATATACATCATATGAGTTGCATCAAATGAATGATGAGGATATAAGCTTTAAGGAATATGTGTCATTTATTAATCGTGATTATGATTAAGTTATGATAAAACATCGATAATTCTCGGTTTCGTTTTTTTTCTTTCGGGACGAACTGTATAGTGTGATTTGACCAGCTGTACTATAGTTTAAGAGCGGGACTAGTTTAAAGGGGACTACTAGCTTTTGCAATTAGTCCACCTCCTTGATATTTATTTATTTATTTGACATATTGATACAGGATAAAAAAAGAAACAATCGAATCAGCAAAACTGTTTTTCATCGATGTCCTGTTAACACGATTAAACATTTCCGATTGTAACCGATGGGATTTTTTTTCATTACATCAGTCAAAAAATACACAAAATGCTTTAAAATGCAAGAAAAATACGATATTAGAAATTCGTTTGAAAGAAGTTAATGAATGACCAATTTGATTTTTTTAGTGAAAAAATATAATAGCAACAATAAAGACGGTTAAGAATCCCCATGGTTAGAATTACATAACATGTGCAAATACGAATATAACAATCCATATAAATATTATACATAAGAAAGCATCTACCATACAATATACAATGAATACATAAATATAAATATATTACATAAAATGAAATCGAAACAAACTTTGATCAACGATTATCATGATTATAGTAGCGCCTGTCGCAGCGGGCCAGAACATGTAAAATCTAATTTTTTATTTCAGAAAAATGTGCGTTTAAAACTATTTTTGAAAGAGGAAAGAGTATGAAGATTTTGCATTTCATTTGAGAGAGAATTCCATGTTTTCGGGCCTGAATATCTAAAAGATTGCTTGAATAATTCAGTATTTGGTTTTGGTAAGACCACATTGAGTGAGTCCGAATTGCGAGTGTTGAAACCATGCCTATCACAGAACATTTCGAGTTCATTACATAGTCTTACTGGAGCATTACCATGTATACATCGGAACATAAGCATATTAATAAAATAATCTCTCCTAGTTTCAAAAGTTGCCATTTCAAATCTTTAAATAGTTTAGAGACGCTGATATCGCGTGAACCATAATGTTTCGACACTATACGAGAAGCTCTTTTCTGTATGTGACGAATATAATCACGGTATTTAAATGAACAGTTTCCCCACACTGAGCATGCATAATCAATACATGGTTGAATGGTTGCTTTATATAAGGTATTAAGCAGAGACGTGTGTAACCACATGGCCCGAAATCTGGATTCCTTTTGTTCATTGATTTTCTAACTGAATTAAAATAAAAACAGACTAAAGAGAGAATACAGGGCTTTTTATGTGATCAATGGACTTCGTTAGACCAGATTCAACTAAGTGCACGTTTATGATTACCAGCATGGACACCTCAAACATTGAATGAAGATCTTGTGGACTTCCTTGGAGCTTTGACTTCTCCAAAGAGTGTAGCTCTTGATTTTGAATCACTCCGAAACATATCGCACATGGCCTGACGAAATTGAGGATAACGAATGGTATATATGAAAATATTCGCACAGGAGTTGACAAACGCGAGAACGACGAGGGACCGATGAACAAGACCATATACAAACGAAATATGTAGAAGACTAAGATTAAGCATCAGAAAGAAGATTTGATCCGGTCCCCAGCAGAGGACAAACACCGTCGTGACCAGGAAAAGCATCTGAATGACGCGTTTCCTAGCGACGATATGGTTCATGTTAGCATTTGATCGATCGTTGTTAGAGTTACCCTCCTGGAATTGAAGTGATTGCCGGTGAAGGAAAACTGCTGTCATGATCTGTGCTAAGATCATTACAATAATCGGGAGAACATAAAGACCAAGCACGAATTGAGCTCTCTCAGATGTAAACATAATGACACAAGTATTCCCAGCTGCATACCCTACAACAACCTGGTAGCTATTCGTTGCAATTGCAGCGACCCATATAATGAAGATGCACATGGATGTGCGAGCAGAATTTACATTTCTTAAGAAGAAGAAAGGATGTGCGATGGCGAGGTAACGTTCCAGGGAGATGGCAGTTAGTGTAAAGACGGAAGCCACAACGGCTACCCACATGATTAGAGATGTATGAATGATACGACAGTAGACCTGAGCCAGCCAAGTATCACTTGGTAGAGTAGCGATCTGCGGATGTGGTATGAGGAATACAGAGGTCAAGAAGTCAGCGAAAGCCAAGGCTCCGATCAGAGTATCAGTTGACCGGCGGGCCCTACGTTTGTTGAACAACACCAGCATCACCAGAAGGTTTCCACAGATTCCGAGTATGGCAGAGAACAGTTGAGCAATCACCCACCAGGGCCACTCCATGGGTAACCAGACCCAAGGAACTGCGGCTGCATCAGATGCTTGACGATTGGTAGTTTGAGTGGTGTCTTCTTCCAAAATCGTCGAATATGGCATAAAAGTAGTGACAGTAATGACTCCTGTCATTAAAGCTGTGCTGTTGTTAATCCATCTAGCCATTGTCTTCGTTTGGATGATTAAGCCGAATAGTTGTAACAGGTTGAAAATAATAGTCTTTTAGGTATTCTTTAAGAAGGAACGTTATATGGAGTCTTCTTCAGCATTCACAAATAAACTGTAAGGAGACAGTATATGCAAACAAAAGTTCAGGATTTCCTCTTTTATCGCAGTTTAACATCGTCCAAAAACATTTAGAAACAACAAAATAATCCTGGCTTACACACAGATTGATTTGTACGTGTATAATCAATGTGGTTTCCTTCCTCGTTAAGACCAACAAACTCTTTATCTTGTTCATGTAGCTTTGCTTTAGTAGACTGTATCATTTTGTGATGCTTGCGACCCGAGGAAAACCGAGTAAGGGTCCTTCCCTGGCAATTCTAATTAGATGGATACTCGCATAGCATATATTGATCTCTATTAATAAAGACCCTGAAACCTAATTTTGTCCGAGCTATTCATCAATGACAGGTATATTGAAACTAACATGTAGAGAGGAAATTAAGATTGCCACATTTGTCAAGTCAGGCATTATCTTTGTGAAATGGTCAGATAGTTGACTAATACTCATTTGTAAGCGAGTTTAGCCAATATGCCATCGTATGGATGCATGTCACTGACATACAATAAGCATACAGTAAGATAAGAAATATGAAATATTTTCAATAAATTAGATAGTTAATTTAGAACGCAGGAGACCACCATCGTGAGTGGTTAGGCTGGAGATGGATGGCGGCCTTATTATGTGCCAGGACAAGAATCTGCGAGGCAATATAGCCAACTTATTTATTTACGAGGCGTTTTTATAATCTCGAACAAAAAGGCCTGGTTAAGAAAGAGATTTAATCTTTTCACGAATTTCTCTCTGGTAATTCATTTTTCGAATCGAGTACGTTAAAGAATCGATGTTGATCAAAGTATCATTAGAAAGCAGGAACTGCGCCATCAACGACTTTCCTCGTATATTTATCTTTAGTAGGGCCTACAATAAATGAGTCAATAGTTTACAAAAAAAACATGGTAATCAATAGTTACCAGGGATACCTGGACAAAAATAGATTTCGCATTGTAGAAAACGAATAAGGATTTATTGCGACTATTTTATATCAATACATGCCAAGATGTAAGGAAAAAACCAAGGATTGATGACGGGGATTATCAGATTAATCTGACAGTTTCATGATAAATGGAAAGGTTCGTCAGCAAGACATCATGAATAGTGAAGTCATGAATAGCGAAATCCATTATCATCTGTTCAAGGGCTGAAAGGTGGAAAAGTTTATCTTAAAGCCAATGGGTTTATGCTGTTCTGGCTAGTAAGACTATTATAGACGTAACTGTTCATCCTTCCAGCGTTTAGAACATAAATACCATTGCACAATAGGAACCAAAGCAACCATCACATCTAAAACTATCACTCTGACCCAAAAATTTGGTAAACATTAGCAAAAAATTAAAGGCAGATTTATTTCTGCATTTATTACCAAAATTTAAAATGAAATATACAAAGAACTTTTTTTTAAATAAAATTAAAAAAAGAAAGCAATGAAATTGAAACAGTATTACAACCATAATATATAAATGTGACAATAATATAATTATATTACTATATAAAAAAAATGAATGAAGTAGACCAACTATCATATTAAAGCAGGGAACTTGAGTGGATGGTGGCCTGGGAGAGGGAGGGGAAGATGTCAAAAAGGCGTTATATTACAATTATTCAGATCGTCTCCTAAATGCATAATTTTAATTTTAAACATCAAAATAAGCCCCTTACAGGAGGTGAAATTCAAAATGTTAGGCATACAAAGATATATCTGTGGGCTAACTCGGATCCAGAGACAACTCGGCCCCAATGCAAAAACGGTCAGTTTTTGCAGGTTAGAGTTAGGGTTAGGGTTAGGGTTAGAGTTTGGGTTAGTGTTAGGGTTAGGGTAAACGACAAATAATGCCCGTTTTTGCTTTGGGGACGAGTTGTCCCTGGGTCCGAGTCTAATAGCCCGGATCCATTTCTATGTACTCTGTCTATTATTCTTCATCTATATATCATTTATTATCTTGGCTGATTGTATTTAACCTTTGGTCTTCTTCTATTTTTGTTTTCTTTTTCTTTTTGTGCTCGTGGGTCTTCCTCTTATTGAAGGTCATTCTCTTCTTTCTTCCTTGTTTTCTTAATTCAATTTCATGCATATAGCTCCGTTTAGTCTCATTTGACAATGCCCCCTTTCGTCAGAGTCAGCAGCCTAACATGTTAGCCTACTGCCTTTTACCCAAAAAAAATCGTTAGAAATTCATTTTTTGTTTAAACGAAAAGCACATCCACCCCGACGTACGTTGACACAGCTCTTTCATTGGAACCCTCATGTCCCATTGACTTTTGAAAGTTTACCCACCGTAATTTGGTCAAAATAAGAAAATGAGACAACCGGAGCAATATGTCTATTCATGAATGAAAAGTATAATATTTGATACTATTATCAATATATTAATCGAGTTTCCTCATTGTCTTTTTTTTTAATTTAAAAAATCAATGATAAAGTGACGTCGTAAACAAATTTTTTTCTTGTCCTCTTACCGTGGTGTTTTATTTCACATATTTAAAATTTCATATATATTTACATCAATTTACATTTTGACATAATTATTCAAAAAAGCAAAAGTAATTAAATAAATAGTTATAACCTTAACATTTCTTGAAAAAATTCTTTGTATTTCGTCAATATTTTTTTTTGTTTATTTGCTATATAATATCGAAGTTTTAGTTTGAAATTAATGAACAGACTTTTACTATTATACTCTTTACCATCACACCGAAGTTTAATATACATTATGTATATTATGTATTGTCCTAAAATTAACATGAAGTTTATCACAAAGTTTTCCTTTTTTCAAACCTATTAAACCTATAACTAATTTTTTTTTCATTAATATTTATTTGTTCATGAAAGTAATTAGAATATAAGTTTTCAATAATATTCCAAAAAATTCTAACCTTGTTACATTTTAACAAGACATGAAAAGTAGTTTGTGTTTCTTTAAATATGTCACACTGGTCATTTTCCATAAGTTATACGCCATGTGCATAAATTATGTTTTGATGGAAATATATTCTGCAATATTTTAAAATTAGCTTGCTTTTATCCTATTATTGCTTATTTGTTGAATTTTAAAATTGAATACTTTCTGCCAATTAAAATAAACAGGTAAGTTCAAGTAATATTCACAGTAACGTGTAACATTTGGTTTTTGAAGGTTTTGTTTCGGGAGGGATAAATAATCATGTTTCGTCTTGAAACTAGATATATCAACAAAATCTCCTGTAGCTACTTCGATTACATTTGAATCGTGTTGTTTACTACTTAATTGAACATTCTTTAGAACGTATAATTTATTTAACCAATATCATGGGAATCATTTCTTCAATTTTGCGTATTCGAACTCAAATAATAATTGATGGATACCAACTTTACTATTTAACAGAATTGACTATTTCCAACTACCAATTATATGCAATATGCAATTTACTTTACAAATTCCAGCTACGTATATTTTACACTTTTAATTCGGAAAATACGGAACCTAATAAATCAATTCCTTTTATATCTTCGTTTTGTCGGATCTTACATGCTAGACATTCAGCCACAATAACGAAAAGTAAAGAAGACAATGGGCATCCCTGTCTTACCCTTTACTCAATAGAGAAAGACTTCGACATCCATCCCTAATTCATCACCTTTCCCTTTTCAATACTGTACAAAGTTTGAACCTTCCTTAAATTGAAACTTCTTTAAAGCGCGTAGTATAAATGAGTGGCTAACATTATCGTATGCTTTTTTTAAATCTAGAAACATAATAATACAAGGCAACTTCTTATCTAAACAATAATCAATAACATCCTGAGTCAGTCTGACATTTTCTGTTGGTGACCTTATATTTAATAAAGCCAGTTTGATCTGTGGAAATGATACCACCTATAACATTTTGTAATCGTTTGATAAAACTTGTGCACATAATTTACAATCTACGTTTAATGTTCGTTGATATTTGATATGTGTGGCATGATTAATTTTGTTAGGGATGTTATTTGGATCTGCAAAGACCGAATTAATACCCAAATCCCAATTGTTTTATTCAAACATTACATCACAACTTTGGCGCAAGTCGATTTTTGCACTCTCGCAAACAATACCACCTGTTCATCCAAGCGTGAACATATACCACACAAAAATTGTACCAAATGATTTGGGATTAAACACTCTTTCATGAGATGTATAATAATTTACTGTTCATAGATAATTTTAAAAATAATTAGCAATTTTCTAGGTGTAAACTTTTTTTGACTCACACGGTATAAGGGCTTCTTTATGATTACCAATAGGTATAGCACACCAAAAATAATTACAACAAACACATGTTATTTGATGGTTACAAATGATCAAGCTTTATGACAGCTTCAAAAAACAAAAAACAGAATTGAAATCGGTCAATGCGTTGTGATTTTATACCAGTTTTTTGATATCGCAAAATTACCGAAAAACCTGCCAGAAATGGTCAAATTGGCAAAAATGGCATAATTCGACAAAGTTGACAACTTACTTCATCACTTTCTTGGACACAAATAATAAATTAAGTCATCAGACACTAAAATATCATCTTTGTGGTAAAAAATACAAAAAGAAGATTCATATATCTATTACTGTTTTGAAAACAGAAGCCAACAAAATAAGTCATTTTGCCATTTTTGCGAATCTGCAGATATAAAAAAGTTGTGAAAATATTAAACTAAGTCCGCCTAATTAATATGCGCATATGTAATTAAATCAAAACCGAACATAATACATCAGTGAAACCTATGTATATCAGACAGGTATGGAAATATATTTCATATGAAATAAAATAAAATCATGAATATTCATCAAATATGCAGAGTAGGTCATGCATCACCCCTACTTAGACAACTTCATTGGCTACCGGTCGAAAAAAGAATAATATACAAA